TCTTGGAGCCATCTTGGGCCAGCTTGGGCGCTCCAACTATCCGCGCCCCCCCTCCCTGGCCCAGGGGAGGGGGTCAGGGGAGGGGGACACCCCTCCCCCGAGCAAGGGGAAGGATGGGTTTGGGCAGAGAGAGAGAGAGAGAGAAGACAGAATCCGTTGAACAACCTAGGCCCTTTGGGCTGGTGAGATTGCTCCAAGTGGGGGGGCCATATGCCGTATTTGGCATCTAGTTGTTCAGAAGTGCGAGGAGCGGCAAGATACCCTAAACAGCTTCGCATTTCGACTGGCGCTCCGCGCTGGATTTGCTCGATGACTGCTAGGTCCGACTCAGCCTTATTCTTAAGTTCTGTTAACATCTTGGTGTCCTGGCTGGGCTGGGGAGGCTCAGGAGGCTCAGAGGGAGGAGCGAGGTGGGCGGGCCCTGGGTTCACCTCGGGGGCCTGACCGACATCGGGGAACGTTGCCTAGCTGTCCGGAGCCTGACCAACGGCGGGAACAAGTCCTCTTGGGAACTCCCTGGAGAGGGGTCGAAAGGGGCAGCTGATGCAGAAACCTGCAGCCCTTTCCCACCCTTGCCTCGTATGACTAGCCGGCCACAGGTTTGGAGGTGGAGGCTCGGGGGGCAGGGCGAGGAGGAGAAGGAGGAGGACAATCTTCAGGAGGAGGAGCAGGAGGAGGATGAGGGGGGAGGAGGAGGAGCAGGAGCAGGTTGATTAGACTTGTCTCAGGGTGCCCTTCAGGCCACCGAGGTGAGAATAGAGGCATAATCACACGGAGCGGCACGGAAAAGGAAGGAGGCGGATCTTGGTTCCAGCACACCCAGTGTGGGGTCCCTCGGCCGCTCGACTACAGGATGCCACCCGTCACTGCGCGACCTGCACGCGGGCTCAGCAGCGTTGCTGCGAATCCTGTAGATCCGTTGCCCGCAGCATGAAAGGTGGCCCGCGCAACCACCACTGCAGCAGGCCGTGCGTTGCTGACGGCTCTGGGGCTGCACCACGGCGCATGTGGCACGTCGCTGCGCAGTGTGGGCCACGCCCTCCGAGGTCCTCTGGCCCGAAGCCGCAGCAGGTCCGCAGCAAACTGCCACGCGCGGCGAGCAGGCTCGGCCTGCCTGTCAGCTGTGCGAAGCTACACAGAATCCGCGGCAGGCGCCAGCCTTGCAGGCCACGAGCTCTCCACGGGCCACGAGCGCGTCAGCTCTCCACGGGACTCGACTGTTCACGCAAAAGTGCGGTCCGGCGTGGGTCCAGGCACGGCTGCACTCGGACCTTCGGCTGGTGTACGCGGCCTCAAGGCAGGTTGCGCGTTCTGGTTCCTTCCCGCTGGATTGCGACTTCCAAGAAGAACGGCACTCTTGTGGGTCCAACTCAAACGATACCCAAGAGACTCTGCGCTGCAATGGGTCGTACATGTTTGACCCCCTTCCGAAGAGGAGCTCCGCTGCTCCTGGACACTCCTGCTCGATGCCCAGCAATCACCGGCGCTTCTTTTCCCTCGGGACCCTGCACGCTTGAATCCCAGACGAGAGTTCAGAGCTGTGAGGATCTGGCATGAGGCTCGCCTTGCTGTTGAGGGGGCCTGAACGGAGCCGTCGCACGAAGATTCGCTACCATGCTCAACACCATACACACCAACAGCAAGTATGCTGCTGTGCATCGTTCTCAAGAAAGTCCGCGTTGCCGTGGATCCTTCCTGTTTTCTGCACGAACGAGATGGGCACGGAAAGAATGGGTACAATGCTCAACAGCAGTTCTTGTTCATTTTTTTTCAGGACTCGCTGTCCGCGCCGCCGCGGCCTGTGTCCATTTGGAGACAGAAGGTTCCCTGCCCAACAGCGGCCGCTGTTGGTTTGGGACAACATTTGTTCTTGGGCATTGTACCATTTTTTTCCGTACCCATTTCGGGCGTCCAAATGTTCGACACCCGCCAATGCCAAGAGAAACCGCGCCTCTATGGGAGACTTGCGTTGGAATCCCTAGAGAAACTACGCGGCTCTGGGTCCAGCACGTTTCATTCCCGACAGTGAGACCGCGCTATTCAGTGTCCAGTGTTTTTGAATCCCGATAGAATTCGATGGGTGTCTTCGCCCATGTTTTTGTGACGTCGTGAGGCTGCCTGCTCTGGAGTACCATCTTCCAGCCAGCCCACACGATTTACCAAGAGAAACTGCGCTGCTGCGGGCCCCTCGTGTATGAAACCCAAGAGAATATGCACTCTTCTGGATACCTGGGTGAGCAGGTGGCACGTGCTGCGCTGCTCTGGGTCGCACGTGTTCGAGTTCCACGAGGAACGACGCTGCGTTGGGTCCTGCTTGCTTGAGCCTCAAGATACGCTGCTCGAGATGTGCTGCCGCCCTCGGCTCGCGCACGAACTAGCCACAGTAACCGAGGAGCCAGGCTTGGTACTGGAAGAGTTCTGGGATCCATGATGCGGCCATGGTGTGTGGTCAAGAGAGACTGTTATTCTGGAGGTCCCTTATGTTTTGATGTCTGGCATTCCAAGCTGCTGTGAGACTTTGCGTTGTAATTGAGTGCGTTCTGACCAGAGCCGTCGTACGAGGGCGCTCTGGGTCTTGCTTGATTGATGCATGACAGAAATGCGTGACCCTGGGTCCCGCAACTTTCATTCCGTGGAGAAGCTGCAACATCTTGGGTTCTGCATGAGAAGACGAGCCAAAGGATGCCGAGGTTTAGCAATGAGAAGCAAGTGCAGAGCATAAAGTTCGGATGGCCAGGATGAGGAGGACGACGATGAGGATGATGATCAACTCTCCCTGAGACGTACCCAACCCTTCCTGAACATGTGCGACACAACACGGGACCAAGCAATATAAACAAACATGTCGAAGCACCCGCAGGAGCCCACAAACGTGGCGACAGCTGCGCAGTTCACAGCTCCCCAAGGATCAGCGAGGTCTCGGCCGTGTTTGTTTACCACTCCACTCCGTCGGGCCTCCCAGGAGCCGACGAAAGTGGCGACAGCTGCGCAGTTCGCAGCTACCCCAAGGATCTGCGAGGGTTCGTCTGTGTGCGCGTGTGTGTTTTCCACTCCAGTCCGCTGGGCCTTCCAGGAGCCCACGAAAGTGGCGACAGTTGCGCACTTCGCAGCCCCCCATGGGAGCAGCGAGGTCCCAACGGGGTCTGCGCACCACTCCACTCCGCTGGATTTCCCAGGAGCTCACAAAAGTGCCAGCAGCTGCGCAGTTCGCAGCTCTCCAAGATCTGCCAGGATTCGTCTGTGTGCGTGTGTGTGTGTTTCCACTCCACTCCGCTGGGCCTCCCAGGAGCCCACGGAAGTGGCGACAGCTGCGCAGGTCACAGCACCACAGGGGAGCCACTGGGTTGCAACGGGGTCTGCGTACCACTCCACTCCGCTGGACCTCGCAGGAGCCCACGAGCTGCGCACGTCGATGCACCACAGGGGAGCCGCTGGGTCCCACCCCGCTGGGCCTGCCAGAAGCTCACGAAAGTGGTGGCAGTTGCGCAGCTCGCGGCCCCCTTTGGAGCTGCGAGCTCCCAACTGGGTCTGCGTACCACTCCGCTCCGCTTGACCTCCCAGCAGCCCACGGCAGTGGCGACAGGGAGAGCCCCGCACGAATGTGGCCAGGCGGCGCAAGCAGGATGATGGAGAGATGGGAGGAGGAAGAAGAAGAGGAGGAAGATGAGACAGAAGGCAGGCAGGACGTATGAGGCAGGAGGAGGGGGAGGGGGGAGGAGGAGTGGAGACCGCAGTGCTCTTTTCAAAAAGAGGACCCCACGCAGGAGGGTTGGCGCGCAGGGGAACGACACACCGCTCTGCCTCGGCGACGACACGCAGCAGTGGCCACCCTCCACCCACGTCCTGAGGAGGCCCGGGTGATGAGGCGTCTGGAAGTGCAGGTGTTGCAACCAGATGGTCACGACGGCGACGCCGCTGGGCGCGATCAAGACGTGGTTCGAGCAGCCATGCGGGGGGGGCGCCCCCAGCAACAGGGTGGTGCGTCAGCTTCCACGACGTCGAGTCGAGCCCCTCACACCCGCTGAGGTGGCTGGGTGAGGAGAGGCCCTGGTTCTGCCCGCTGTGCGCGGGCTCGGCGACGGAGCTGGTCTCGGCGCAGATGCAGGAGGAGTGGTGCAGAGAGGTCAGCTGCACCCCGATGGAGCACGTACTGTGGCACTGGGCCCGCCTCGTGGGCGTGGTGGAGTGGACCAGCGCTGTGGCCCCCCACGGTAGAGTTCGCCGCTCCCCCTTCGTCTTCAAGAGGTCGCAGCGTGGCGTGGGAGACCATCGATGTGGGCCAGGCGCCGCGGAGTGAGAAGGCTAATCGGCAGCAGATAAACACCGACCCATCTCAGTCAAAAAGGATCGGCTTGGAGCCTCTCGAGGCCTCAGCCCCAGCAGAGGCCACTGCCGCTACCAGCGCTGCCCAGAGGCCCGAGGAGGTGCCCCTCGGCCAGCGAGCGGCGCGAGGAGCAGCAAGCGCGGCGCCCGCTGCCGCCGCCAGCGTCGCCCCTGCGGCGGCAACGCATGCCGCCAATGAGGCCCGCAGGAAGGCGCTGCTGCAGCGCCTGCTGGAGGCCGCCCCAGGGTCCAGGAGGAGGGAGGCGCCCGCGGCGAGGGCTCGCCGCGGGAGGCGCTGCGGCGGCCCACCGCGGAGCCGCCGCCGCCGCCCCGAGGGCCCGCGCTGCCGCCCCCTTGGGGGCGAGAGGCGCGGCCGCGCCCGCGCCCGTCACCGCCACGCCCAGCGGCCCGCCCCGAGGAGGCCGAAGGGCGCGCGGCGGGTGGCGGTGCGGGGCCGCCGCGTCCCCTCCGCGACGATCGCCGACGACCTCCCGCGCACCTCTCCTCTTGCTCTGGGCACCAAGCGTCACTTCCTCGCAGACGCTAAGGCGCCACTCCTCCTGCCCTTGCCGCCGCCGTCGTCGTCGCCGCCGCGGCCGTCCTCGTCGCACTCGTCGTCGTCGCCGCGTTCGTCGTCGGTGGCGCCGGCGTCCTCGTCCTCGCCGCCGCCGCGGGAGGGCGTCCTGTGCACCGCCGGGTTCTCCTCGGTCACGCTCTGGCGCGAGCGGGACCGCTGGGCGCAGCCCGCCTCGACGATCAGGCGGTCGCCGCCGCCGTTGCAGCCATCGCCGCCGCCGTCGTTGTCGCAGTTGTCATCGTGGCCGTCAGTGGCATCGTCGTCACCTCTAGGGGCAGAAGCGGGGGAGCGGTAGATAGGGGCGGGAGGGGGGGAGAAATGGCGAGAGGGGAAGAAGCGGGGACTGGGGAGGGGGGAAACGGATGAGTAGAAGGGGCGAGGCGGAGGTGGACGAGGAGGAAGAGGAAGAGGAGGAGGTGAAGGAAGAAGGAGACAAGCGGGACGGGAAGCATGAGATGTGAGGCATGGATGACAGAGGGGGAGAGAGGGAGCTGGCGGTGATGGAGGCCGAAGGGGAGGAGGTGGAGGCGAAGACGGAGGGGCACGGGCAGGAGGGGGAGGAGGAGAAGCAGAAGGAGCACGAGGGGGAGGGGCCGAGTGCCAGAGGAGGAGGAGGAGGAGGAGGAGGAGGAGGAGGAGGAGGAAGGTGAGGGCAGATGGAGGAGGAGGCGGAGGAGGAGGAGGAGGAGGAGAAAGGTGAGGGCGGAGGAGGAGGAAGAAGGTGAGGGCAGATGGAGGAGGAGGAGGAGGAAGGTAAGGGCACATGTACGACACGGGGAAAGATGCGTAGAGTTGGATGTCAAGCCAAGTCAAGTCCGGTCGAGGGGCCTATGGAGGCACCTCGCTCCGCAATCGGAGCCGGAGGGCGTGAGACACTACGGCAACAAAGCGCGCATGCAAGAGAATAGGGGGAGAAGAGTTGGATGAACAGCAGGGAAACGAAGATGCTGACAGAGACCAGGGGGGGCAAGATCACATGGTACACAGCCGATGATGCCAAGGGCGACCACAACTAAGCACGACGGGAAGGAGGGAAGCCATAAGGCAGCGCCGTGAGGTTTGGGCCGACCAGCGATTCCGCAACCTCAGTTGAGCGATCGTTTTTTCCCGGTTATGCATTTTGTGTGCCTCGTGAGACATCGGCAATTTGTGTGGCTCGCTGTTCTCCCTCAGTCCCTCCCCCTCCTGCTCAGGGTCGCTTCGCTCTTAGTACCATCGCGTAGGGCGTTCGCGGCTTGTTTCGGCGGGCGGTGTTGCGCGTCGCAGCACACTGCCAATCATCCAGTGCTAGGTGCCATTGCGGACGTGACACCATTTCCCTACTCCTCTTCATGCCTCCCGCCCCCACGGCCCTCATCCCTCCTCCCTCCTTCTCCTTCCTCCTCCTCCTCCTCCTCCTCCTCTGCCCTCCTCGCCCTCTTTCTCGCCCTCCCTCCCTAGAGAAGGGGCACAATCATTAGCAGTAGTCTCAATGTCGCCGTTCGTTGGTCCCACGCCCTTGAGAATCTTCGCACGCGTCGCTAGGTCTCACCTCTTGGCGCTTGCTGGGGTCGTCTCTGACTCATGCGTCCCACCATCAGCCAAGTCCGCGAGTACCGGCGCAAGCGCCAAGCGCCAAGTATTGCGAGGGACAAGATCCCGAAGGCGCCCTCCGCGCCATGACGCTAGCTTGGGCGAGCAAGAGGTCAGAGCAAGGGGAGGTGGAGATGGAGTGACACGAGCTATCGTGCGAGGATGGCCGAGAAACACCTGCACAAATACGAATTTGCAAAGCTCCGCCAGACTTCTTGCGTCGGCGCTGGGACCCTCTCCCTGGCTCGCAAAGCGCGCCCGCTGCGGCGCCAGAGGCGCCGCCAGGGGAGCCCCGTGCCGATTCGAAAATTCGGGGCGGATCTCGGCAAATTTAATGTGCATTCATCAAGACGCAGCATTAAGTCGGGCCTGTCCCTCTACAGGAGGAAAATTCAAAAATACTCAACAAATAGTCTGGGGACACATCATTTTTCGTTCAAAATCCCCCTGTAGGGGGACAGGCCCGACATAATCGCAGCATGGGCGACGACGGGGAGCGGTGTGGAGGTGTCTCCCGCCAGGCCCGCACGCGCCTGGGAGATGCTGCTTCCGCTCGTCGCCATACTGGCGCGGCCCCGAGCGGCGGGAGGAGGGAGGAGGGGGAAGAGGATTGAGTGGGAGGGAGGAGTTGGAGGGAGGAGGAGGAGGAGAAGGAGGGATGATGAGGAGGAGAAGGAGGAGGAGGTGGAGGAGGTGGAGGAGGAGGAGGAGGAATGAGGGAGGGAGGGAGGGATGGATGGAGGAGGGAGGGAGGGAGGGAGGAGGGAGGGATGAAGGATGGAGGGAGGATGAGAAGGAAGGATGGCGGGGGGAACGAGGAGGAAAGAGGGGGGCGGGGAAATAGAAAGGACATGAGTTGTGAGGAGGGAGGGAGGAAGAGGAAGAGGACCCCTCGTTCCTTCTCAACGGGCATCAAGAGGCCCGTGGGCACCTCCGGTGGGATGGGAAGAGGAGGAGGAGGAGGAGGGGGAGGAGGAGGAGGAGGAGGAGGAGGAGGAGGGGGAGGAGTTGGAGGGAAGGGAGTTGTTTTTGTTGGGGGGACGGGGATGATTTCCTTGTTGTTGATAATGCTGCTGATGATGATGACGATGATGATGATGGTGGTGATGATGATGACGATGACGACGATGATGATGCTGATGATGATGACGCTGATTATGATGATGGTGATGAGGATGAGGATGATGATGATGATGATGATGATGATGAGGATGATGATAATGATGATGCTGCTGATGATGATGATGCTGATGATGTATGTTTAAGGCGATTTCCCCAACCACCGATTCACCCCAAGACCGACATCCAGGAACCACGCGTGTGTGCAAGGTCTCCCCCCTGCTTGAGCGCCCCAGTCTGACCCCCAGTCCAGTCTGATCCGCCACGCCTGACGCCAGTCTGATGCCGTCCAAGTCCCCTGAGGTGAGGGGAACTGCCAGACCTGGGTCCAGCAGGAGAGACGGTCCCGCTGTCAGTCGTCCGCTGGTCCCCACATGGGAAAGGAAGTGAAACAAGCCCTGCTTACAGGGGAACGTGCTGCTGCGATGGCGGGGCTCCTTGTCCGGTCCTGGTGGTGGTGCCCCCTGGTGGGCTTGGAATGTTACTTCCACCCAAGGCGCCAGAGCTCAACGACCAATGACCCCAAACAGTGTCCCTCGGTAGCCCGAGGACAAGCCGGCGGTGGTACATGCGACGACCGTGCAAGCACTGTCGGGGGGAACCCGCGGACGAGTGGAGAGAAGGAAAAGGGAACAACTAGGGAAGGAAGGGGGAGGATGTTGAATATGTAGCTGTAGAGGCAGTAGATGAGGGGATATGCAATGACGGAGTAGACGATGTAACGAATTCGAATGGAATAGTCCTCGACCGAACCTGCACTCCCCGACGGCCACCTTTACTGCTGGCTCGGGTACAGAAGTGTATGATGTATGCTTAGGGCGATTTCCCCTACCACCGGCTCGCCTCCAGAACGACTTCCAGGAACCACCACGCGTGTGCGCAATGGTCCCCCCCTGCTTGAACGCCTGGGTCTAACCCCCTGGCCGGTCTGATCCGCCACGCCTGCGGCGAAGAAGAAGAAGAAGAAGAATTTGATGACGATGCACATGCGGAAAACAATGATTGTGATGATGATGACGATCAGGATGATGAGGATGAGGATGAGGATGAGGATGAGGAGCATGATGATGATGACGAGTACGACTATGATCAGGATGGTGATGATGATGAAAACGCTATTGATGATGATGCTGCCGATGCTGATGCTGCCGATGCTGATGCTGATGCTGTTGATGATGATGACGATGGTGCTGATACTGGTGCTTGTGATGACGTTTGTGGTGTCGGTGATGATGATTATGATGGTGGTGGTGTGAAGGTGGTGGTGGTGGTGGTGATGGTAGTGATGATGATGGTGGCGATGATGCTGCAGCTGATGATGATTATGATGACGAATATGATGATGATTAAAGGACGAGAGCAGTGAGTGCTACTGAGTGTGCTGTGGCGCATCCCTCCCGTCCGCAATTTTTCCGGACTCATGCCCAGACGTCGTATTTATTTTAAGAAGTTGTTGGGTTTGCCCCCCCACCACACACCACAGCACGAACGTGGTTCTTTCTCCTGCATCCGCGGGTACTGGCACCTTTGCCGCGACACCGAGCCCAAACCGCTTGTGTGCGTTCGGCTGGGCTGCGGTTTCCTTTGCCCTGGTCTGTCTCCCTGGCGCCGCCGCCTTGAATTTCCCGTCGGGGCGCGAGGCGGTGACGCGCCTGGGCCTTGCAGCGTTCGCTGGCCTCGTAGGCGCCTGCGCCACCCTGTGGCGAGCAGGGTTTCGGAGGCGGCGTTGCAATCGCAGCGGGGGGTCCGACGAACTCGAGCGCCTTTGCGCCCAGTTGGCCGCGATGCAGCGGGCCGAGCTAGAGTCGGCCGCTGCCTCCGCTGCAGGCGACACGCTCCCTACGGCGTCGCCTTTGCAGAGACGTGCCTGGCGAGCTGGGGCTGCCGCCCCCCCCCGCCGTTCGCGGTCGGGCCACCCGTGCCCGATGTCCCGGGGCCCGAGTGCCGCGGGGGCAGCCGACAGCGGGTTGGCCGTTCCCCACCCCTTCGGCGCAGGCGATGGGCTGCCAGGGCCCAGCCATGGCGGGGCGCTCGCCGCAGGCGCGGCCGCCGCGCCCGCCGCCGCGGGGCAGGCGCCCGCGGCAGAGCCAGGGCCGTAAGTCACATGGCCTTCGGGTCTTGCTGCGCAGTCGGGAGCGGTTGCCTTCGATGGCGCGATCTGGACGGAACTCGAGACGCTCGCGGCCACCAGCGGCAGCGACCCGTGGTGGGGCTTGAACTTCTGGCAGCGAGTCCACCAGCGCGACCTGGCGGGCCTGCTGGACCCTGGGGCCAGGGCGGCGCTGGTGGCCAAGAGCTTCGCTGGAGAGCATTCCGCTGGAGCCCCCGACGTCGAGAGCATCGAGACAGTGCTGCGCGTCTTGGAGGCAACAACTCGGCAGATCACGGGTGGTTTCGTCGGCGCGGACCTGGCCGCCTCGACATCCGTCGGCGGCTGGGCGCGCAGCCGCCCGCCCGACTTCAGGCGGGCCGCGGGCGAGATCTACAGGAACATCAGGTCGTCGGGCTCGACCTCAGTGCGCAACTGGCTGACTCAGCAGCGCGCGGTGTCCATGAGCGGAGAAGAGCGGCAGTCAATCTGGACGACGGCCGCGTCGGTCGACTTCGTGTTGGGGGTCTGTAGCGGCGACGTCAGCGTCTGCGCGCAGCTGGCCTCCGACGGCCAGGTCGAGGTCGCGCGGCGGCGCCTTTCCGCTTGCCTCTGCGTGGGCCGGGCGCGCGACGGCGCGGGGGAGGCGCGCCTCAGCGCCGTCATCGCGCCAGGGGCAGCAGTCGACATCGCGCCGAATTGGCTCATCTCGCAGGCGACTGCGCACTTGAAGATGGATCCCCAGAGAGAGGAGAGGATCAGCGCGGAGCTGCGACACCGCCAGTTTTAGGGGGGGGCAGAGGTCGCGCGGGCGGAGGTCGCGGGCCAGCGGGGGGAGCCCCCCCCCCAGGGCGGAGGCGGGCGCCGACGCTCGCCTGCGATGGGGGCGCACTGGCAGCCGAGGGCGCCTCCTAGACGCAACGACGCACGTCTTGCGTGGAGAATCGAGGAGAGCATGGCGGCCAGTCGATCGAATGGGTGCTTCGGCTGAGCAGAGGCGCTCGGGGCCGCATACTCCGCCGCTCTCGCGGCCGAGGATCGCGAAGCAGATGCCCCTTCCAGACCTCGCCGACCAACCGCGCCTTCTGCAAGACGGGCGCCCCGTTCTGCCTGTCCCGTCGGCGCCTTGGCCAGCGGCTGCTGCGCCTTCCTCGCCAGGGCGATTCGGCGTGGGGAGTCGAGGCGGCGGGATGCACGCATAGTGGTCAGCGACATGCAGGAGGCGGTCAACCGCGCCCACCCTGGAAGATTGAAGCCGCAGGCTGGTCGCCCTGTCGAGCGTCGTGATCTGCGTGGGACAGACAGGGCGGCAGGGCAAGTCCGACTGCGCGCCATTCGGATGGCCCGGGGGTTTGTCGGCGCTCGCTGGCTTGTTTCGGCGACGGGCATGCAAACCGTCAGCGCGTTGGTCAAATCAGCGAGGTTGCCCACCCCCGTTCGTCGCCGCCGAGATCGACGAGGTCACCGCCGAGAGGGCCTTGGATATGTTTGCTGGCCGCGCCGCCGGAGACCGCAGCCCGCTTCCGCGCCGAGCAGGGCAACTTGGCGGAGTGGGGCGGCCAGAGCGAGCAGCTGCTGAGGGAGCTCGAGGAGCACTGCGGCTTCCTCGGCGGCTCGCAGGAGGAGCGGGCCAAGTGCCCGCGCCGCCCAGATCTCTCGCCGGGACCGTGGATCTACGCGCGCCGAACGGACGTCGAGGCAATCGACGGCGCGAGCGCGGCCCCCAGAAAAGGACCCCGCGCAGCGCGGACGGCCGATCGCGGCGGCCCCCGCGAATTGCGCGCGGCGCGACGCGCGCGCGAGGACCGCGGTCTTGGAGGCGGCGGCGCGTCGTCGCTGATCCGCGCGCTGGATGGCGCGCTCAACGTGGCGCGGTGCGACGAGTCCAATGCCTTCTCGTCTGTCGTGGCGCCCCCCTGCGCGCGGCCCCGGGCGGCCGCGCCATCGCTGCCTGCGGCTCTGGCGCGAGACAGGCCTGTCACCGCGGTAGTTGGCGGGCGTCCCCGACGCCGAGGTGGCGCGCCCCTGCTGGCGGCACCTCTCAACGGGGAGCTCGCATTCCGCGCGCATCCTGCACGTGTCCATCGACAAGCGGAGCTTGGGCGTGACGCTGAACTAGTGTCGACTGCTTGCCGCGAAGGCGATGCGTTCGGGCAGCCCGACCGCGGAGCTGACCAACGATGTGGAGGTCCACGATCAGGAGTGGGTCGACCTTCAGATGGATCGGCGGAGCGCCGATCGCTTCGAGCCGGGCCTTTCGGGGGCGCGCGCTACCTCGAGCGCTCGCTGCGGCGCGCCACGGCGGCGCCGCGCGTTTTCGCCGTAGGTCGGCGCCGCGGCGACGCGCGGGTCTGCGTGG